GCGCGGCCAACGGGCGCGAGTGGCCCGCATGATATGATTTGACACGGATCGTGCCCCCCTCGCACGCGCGCAAGAACGTTCGAATGATTTCAACATGCGCGTAGGAGACGCCCATTTAGTCGAATTGATATGACAAATAAGGGAAAACACGTGGTTGTCAAAGGGATTCGAACGATCGCGCGTGCAGACTTTTTTGAATAGTCATGTTGTAGAACCAGCCGTTTTCCTAATTTGTTTGTGGGACACTCGGTGTTGACACTAGAGCGGGACTTACGGTTTGAAGTGTTTCGGCACGCGCGCGCGCGACGACGCGAACATGTGCACTCCGTTTCATTTGTTGTAAGGGGCTCTTGAACATCTGCGGTTAGTGATGAACGAAGGTGCGCGCACAATGTCTTCTGCCGAGGATTAGGGGGAGATACTGGGTGAGCTGAGATCATCTGGTTTCATGTTGCAGTGGCCTCCGGCTAGTGCCGCCGATCCGGGGCGCTCTCGATGGTGCTCGAGTTCGCTTAGAGTCCTATGGGGCCATCTTGGGGCCCTCTCGGGCAGTCGTAGGAGGAGGCCTCTTGAGGGGATCTTTGAGCATCCTGTGGTCCTTTTGGAAGCCTTTTTGGCAGTCTTAGGGCGCTCTCCGTCGGACGCCGTCGGAAGCCGTCTTAGGCGCCTCGCTGCGCCGTGGGGCGCTTCAGGGCCGTCTTGGAGGCCACCTTAGCCGTCTTGGAAGTCTTTTGGGGCCGTTTTGAGACGCTTCCTTTCAGGCGCCCACAAGATATACGAACGTCGCCCCCGTTCCAAAGCGCAAGGGCAGCCCGTGGAGGCACAGCGCAGGGGGAGTTCCCTGCGACACGTGCTGGTCGCCTCGAAACGAACTAATGCGAACCCTGGCATGTGGGCCTTCGCTGGCACTCCCTATGGGGCCACAGAACGTGTGACGGGTGCGCCGACATGAGAAACGGCAACTTGTGCGAACCCTGGGGGGTGGGCCTCAGTGTCCCCATGGGCCACGACACGCGTGAGCAGTGCGCCGACGTGAAGAAGCGGGGGCTCATGGGAACCCTTGCACTTGGGCCCTCATACAAGGTCACGAAACGTGGAACTGGTGTGCCAAAATTCGAGGCGGGAGCTCATGCGAAACCTCAAATTTGGGCTTCAGCTGGAAATCCTGATGGCGCCAAGAAGCGTGTGAATGTGCGGCCATGGAGACACGGGAATTCATGCGAACCGTTGCGGTTGAGCCTCAGTTGGGCTCCCTACGGGGCCACGAAACGCGCTGGGGGCGTGCTGTAATGAAAAGCGGGAATGCATGTGGCCTTTGGCATTTGGACTTTAGATGGGGCACCCGATGGGGCCACGAAGCGTGCGAGGGGTGTTCCGACATTTTAGGAGGGAATGCACGTGAGATTTGGCGTCCCGGCCTTAGTTTGCGCTCCCTGGTCGCGAGACGTGTGCCGACATGAAAAAAGTAAACCCAAGCAACATTTGCCATTTGGGCCTCGGTTGTGCGAGGGGTGCGCCGGGATGAAAAGCGGGAGCTCGTGGGCACAGAGGCATTCGGCCTTAGCTGGGGTTCCCCATGGAACCAAGAAGCGTGCGAGGGGCGTGCCGGCATGACAGGCGGGAGTTTATGTGAACTTTGGCATTGAAGCGCTTGGGGCTCCCTGTGGGGCCGCGGGCTGCGAGAACATTGGGGGCCTTGGCTGGGGCTCCCTGTGGGGCAGCGAAACGGGTGAGGGGCGTGCCGACATGAAGGCGGGAACTCATGTGAACTGTGGCGGTTGGGCCTCACTTGGGGCCCCCTGTGTGGGGCCACCATGTGCCGACATGAGAAGCGGGAACTCACATGAACTTTGGCATGTGGGCCTTACTTGGGTCTCCCCCGATGGGGCCACGAGACGTGCGAGGGGTGTGCCGAAATAGAAATTTGGCATTTGGGCCTTATTTGGGGCTCCCTAAAACGTGCGAGAACTGCTGACATGAAAGGGGGGGACTAACTTGAACTGTCGGCATATGGGCCTCATCTGGGGCTCCCTATGGGGCCACGAAGCGTGTGAGTAGCGCGCCGACATAAAAGGCGGGGCTGGTGTGGACTTTGGTATTTGGGCCTTGGCTGGGGCTCCCCAGGTCCCCATGGGGCCACGGAGCGTGCGAGTGGTGTACCGAAATTAAGAAAGTGGAACCTCAAATGAACTTTGACATTTGGGTCGCAGCTGGGGCTGGCTATGGGGCCATGAAGCGTGGGAAACATGTTCCGACATAAAGCGCGGGAGCCCGCGTAGACCTTGGCATGTTGGCTGCATGTGGGCCCCATTTTCATATATATATATATATATATATATATAAAAAAAAATATGTATACGTGTGTATTTACATATATACATATATATATACACATATCGTCGAAATTGGGTGGTGAAATCACAGTGGAACGGAGACCCCCAATCGGGAAATCGTTTCGTTTCGCTCGTGTCGTGCGTGCGGGACAGGCGAAGCTGCGTGGGCGCGCGAAAGGAATGAACCCGCCGCTGCTAGGGCGAAGTCAAGACAAATGATTATCCCCCTACCGCCCGTCCGGCGGTGGCTCGCGGTGTCCCGCGGTGTCCCGTGGTGTCCCGTGGTGCCCGCCGCTGCTAGCGCGAAGTCAAGACAAATGATTCTCCCCGGCGGTGGCTCGCGGTGTCCAGAAGTGCCCCGCGGTGTCCCGTGGTGTCCCATGGTGTCCGCCGCTGCTAGGGCGAAGTAAAGACCAATGAATTTCCCCCGCCCGCCCGTCCGTCCGTCCGTTTGGTGGTGGTTCGCGGTGTCCCGCGGTGTCCCGTTGAGTGAGATCGATAGTGATATCGATAATGAGATCGATACTGAGATCGATGTGGTGCCCCAAAGTGTCCCGTGGTGTCCCGCATTGTCCCAAAAAGTGAAACCGGTAGTTAAATCGATAAAGAGATCGACAGGTGTCCCGTGGTGTCCCGTGGTGTCCCGTTGAATGAGATCGATTGTGGGATCGACACTAAGATCGATGTGGTGCCCGGAAGTGTCCCGTGGTGTCCCAAAAAGTGAGATTAATCGTGAGATCGATGGTGCGATCGACAGGTGTTCCGTGGTGTCCCGTGTTCCGTTGAGTGAGATCGATAGTGACATCGAGAGCGAGATTGATGTGGTGTCCCGAGGCGTCCCGTTGAGTGATATCGATGGTGAAGTCGATAGTGAGACCGATCGTCAGATCGAGGTGTCCCGCGGTGTCCCGTGGTGTCTCGTGGTGTCCCGTTGAGTGAGATCGATAGTGTGATCGATAATGAGATCGACATGTGTCCCGTGGTGTCCCGTTGAATGAGATCGATAGGAACATCGATTGAGTCAGATGTTGGTTGCCCCTCCTCTCCCCCCCCACAACCTCCCTATCACCCGAAAAGGGGGTCGTATAGGTATATAATACATCGGCGTTCCGAAGGTTTATTCCGATTTGAGAGGCACGGCGCCGCGCGAATGCAGCGCAAACGCTACGCTGGAAGGGCGCGGCAACGCATGCCCCCTGGACAGGCGAGAGCAGCCGCGCCCCCGTGCGAACCCCGATCCCGCGCGGGGCGCGCTCCCGGTGACAGTGGTTCACCCGGGAAACCGTGTCTTGCGCAGGAAGTCCTGGGCAGTCTGCCCACCGGCGGCTCCTTCGGACGAGGCCCGGAACCACCGAGATACCGTTTTTGACAGGAAGCTCTAAGCGTTTTGCCCACGTTCGGTTTTTTGTCGGAATGGGCCCGAACACCTCGAGAACGATGTTTTTGCAAGGAATCCTAAGCGGGTTGCACATTTCGGGTCGTTCGAACCGGACCCGAAATTATTCTTGCTACAAATCCTAAAGGATTTGGCCACTTTCAGGTCGGCTGGTAACCTTTTCGGGTCGTCGCATGACCGAACCCGAAAGTTTGTGTTCGAGGAAGTCCGATGCCGTTTGCCCATTTTCGGGTCAGTACACCGTTTGGGATTTAGAATTTGTAACTGGGAGGGGGGACCCGATCCCGCGACCCCGGGCTGCCCTTGCATTGTACTGGGCCCCTCCGGCCAAACGGGGTGCTGGGCTGCCCATCGGCGCGCCGACATTGCCCTCGCGACATCGTCCCCATCCGCCCTCCGGCCCCGCGAGTCTTATCCTGCGCGCGCCACCCCAGATGTCCGCAGCGAGCACGGTGGCCAAATTGGGGAAACTTTCGGATCGGCGCAGTAGTGTGTGTGTGGGGGGGGACACGAGCTGTGCGGGGGGTACCATAAATGAAAAGCGGGAAGTTGTGTAAGCTTTGGCAGTTGGGCCGTAGTTGGGGCTCGATTGTGCCGAAATTACATGCGGGAGCTAATGTGAACTTTGACATTTGGGCCATACTTGGGGTTCCTGGGGCCTCGAGACGTGCGAGGGATTTGCCGAAATGAAAGGCGGATGCTCATCTGAACTTTGGCCCTTGTGCCATAGCTGGGACTCCCAACGTGGCCACGAAACGTGTGAGGGGCGTCCCAACATGAAGGGCGGTGAGGGAGCGAGAGAGAGGAGGAAAGAGAAGCGGGAGGAGGAATAACGAGGAAGGAATGTCGCGGGGCGCCGCGGTTTCACATCCAAGACCCATCACCATCAACACAAGATGGTTGGAAATGACCCCTCTCCACCCGTGAAGCCGTTCCGTATCCTTCAAGCTTCGGGATCCCAAGGGTGGCGGGGAAATCTCAGGCGAAAGCCCGGCACGCCCTACCGACACGCCCGGGGTGCGAAAGGAGGAGTTGCTCATACGAAAAAGGGGATGGGGGAAAGCACGGGGACCGCTCTCCTCGCCACCAGCTCCCACACGCCCTCCTCACCACCTCCTCGCCCTCCCCGCCACCTGCTCCCACACGCCCTCCGCGCCACCTGCCCACACGCCCTCCCCGCCACCTGCTCCCATATGAAAAGCGCCTCGCCACCTGCTCCCACACGACGCGCCAGGGAGCCCGCACCCTGGCCAAGAGGACGGGATCGCCGCCTCGGGCTCGGGAATGCCATGGTGGCTGCACCACGCCGACATGAACTTGCCGAAGGGCGACCCCGCCTGAGGGGGGGGAGGGCGGAGGGGGGAGGACCGACCTCAGCAGCCGGACCTAGGACAGAATAACATCCTTCCCAACCATGATGTGGTGTTGGGTCCCCGCTTTGAAGAGACAGCGCCCCGCGTCTCCTCTGCCCTCCTCTCCTCTCCTCTCTCTTCTCTCTCCTCTGTCCTCTCTCCTCTCCCCTCTTTCTCCTCCTCTTCCTCCGTCTCCTCATCCTCCTCTTCCTTCTCCTCCTCTTCCTCCTCTTCCTTCCCTCCTCCTATCCGTGCTTTGCTCCGCATGTCTAAAAATCCACCGCAACCCTCACACGCCCCTAGTGGCTGTGACCACATGCGCCGCCGCCACCCATTTCGGCACACCCCTCATACGCTTCATGGCCCCATTGGGAGCTCCACCGAAGAGGATACGCACCACTGCGGCACTCACAGCTGCACATGGCTGGGTCGTTCGCCAAGACAATTCAAGAACATGAGGACCTCCGCAGGCCTCCGCACGCCAGGATGCACCAGAACATCCAACTATACGAAGAACATCAGGGTGCCCTGCCCGAACCCACTTCGATCTTAAACATCGGTCCGACTGTATGGGGAACAAACAATGACACAAGCACGCAATTCGGACCATGGAGCCCCAACGCCGATTCGGGGACTCCGCGCGGAGCTCCGACTTGTGATGTTTATGCCACTGCTTCTTCCCCGAGCTCATCTTGGCCACACCTGGTTGGCTGCAGCGCCTGCAAGACCCCGTCGAATGGCGAACTGTGACGGAAAGGATTGCAAACAACTGTGATGGGACGCACAGAAACATACTTACTACTACTATGTCCTCCTTGAAGGCACGCGTCCGACCCGAACATCTAGTATGCCCATCTTGCAGTATATAGTTTCCCGAGCGGTGTGGCCAGAAAGCGCCCGCCAAGACGCATCTACTGTAAGATTTCTCGGTGCGCGTGTCGCCCCAGGGGGGGCGACGCACATATAGTACAAGCATGTTGGGGTGACGCCGATGTGATGAAGGCGATGACCTGCAGCAGCCCTACGTACAAATTCCATGCGATGCCTGGTGCCTTGGCGCCCTGCTTCCTCCTTCTGTGTTCGCCTGCGCGCTTCGGCGTATGGTTTGGCGCAGCGTAGCGTTGGGTCGGGCATGTCCGCCTACGGGTGGCTGTTGGAACAAAACACAGCCAACAACTGCCCCAAAAACACACACGACAACTCGTCGCCAGACCCTTTGTTTGACTCTTCTTGAACACTCCTCCTGTAGAGGGACATGCCCGACCTAAGCGCAGCGTCTTTCCCCAACTAAAGGGGCCCCAGAACACACAAATAAATACACACAAATAAAAATATTCCCAATATTTTCTCATATTTTCTGGGTTTTTGTCTTCCCCCCCAATTCCCATATTTTCGCATATTTTCCTGGGGATCGACGATTAATTGTGTCTGTGTGTTTTTTCCCCTCCTGACCAACGGTGGCCCACCCGCCTCTGCCAGCCGGCAGGCGCCCCCCCCCCGTCCGGGGGCGAGCGGGCCCAGTCCGCCCCCCAGAGCGGCCCCCCTCCGAGGAGACCAGCAGGCGCCGCTGCCGCTGCTCCCCAGACCTGGCCGATGCCGCAGTGCCGATGCGTCGGCGATGCGGCGCGATCCGCCGACCACATCTGCTCGGACCCCATCTGGGAGGCCAAAATATCTTCAACCTCTGGGGAAAGCAAAAGGGTACCGACAAAAAGCCGCTACTCCCCGGACCTGTCCCTGGGTGCGTTCTGACCAGAATTGCAAGGGCGCATTCAGCCGTGGCGACGAGGGCCTTTCAAGAGGCCCCGAAAGGGCGAAAACGAGGCAATGGCATGTAGCGGTATCGGACGCCTCTCCTCCTCCGAACCGCCCTCCGGCAGCTGGCGAGTGGGCGCAGGCGAGCGAGCGGGGTGAGCAAGCGGGCGCGCAGTCCCACGGAGTCCCCGACCGAGCTGCTGCTGACCGACCGAGCTACCGCGGCAGCTCGCCAGGGGCCCCGGGACCGCGGCGGCGATACGGCCACGGGGGGGTGCGCAAGGAACCCCATCGGGGAGCAGCCCGGAGCGCGCGCAGCCAGAGGCGGGCCTGTTGTGAGCCGCACATGTTTACACTGACATACGGCATGCGGGCCTGAAGCACTAAGCATAGCGTACATGTCTTGTTGAACGGATCCCGCTCGCACACCAACTCCGAGGAATATCCACTGTACTGTCCGCGGTGGCGGTCGCGAGCGCAGTTTCATGGTCGGGTTCCCGTCTCCGACCTTCTGGAGGGTCGCGAACGCGAATGTCGCCCATCCTTTGGTCAACGAAGTGCGTGAACGTTGCGACGGCAGGCATGGATGAGAGTGAGGAAATTGAGGGCGATGGTGGCAGAATAAGTCAACATCGAATCGGGGGATCCGAACGAATGGGAATGTGCATCGGATCGGTCTGCATCGGCACGGAGCCGAAAACGAATCGGTCCGGCCGCGCCGAGACGCACAACAGCGCAGCGCCGAGCAAGCATCGCTCCACATCGAACCGTCGGAAGATCGGAACCGAGTCGGATCGAGGCGGCCAGAACCGCTGCCGAATCGGATCGGTCGGATCGAACGTGGACCCTGTGGTGGTAGCGGAAAACTCGCCGCCACGTCGATCCAACAAGGAATGGTCGACACAGCATGGACGGCCTCCCAGCGGGTGAGGAGGAGGTGCGCAGGAGGAGAACTTCGATGACGAGGGGGAGGTGGAGGGGGAGGAGGGGGGGGAGGAGGGTGAGGAGGAGGAGGAGGGAGGAGGAGGGAGGAGGGGGAGGAGGAGGAGGTGGAGGGGGAGGAGGGGGAGGAGGAGGAGGAGGAGGAGGAGGAGAGGGGGGCAACTCTCCCCCCCGCGAAGCACGGCCGTCTGGCTCACTCCCACCGGCACTCCCCCCGCATGCACAGCACCGGAGCCCCAGTGATTGAATTTGCGAGCGCCGCCGTCGACCGTGGTGACTGGGAACCGATGCAGGCGCCAGCCATGACGAGCCAACAACACACACCCATACCCATAGGGGGATCGGAGAGGGCTATGGGTGCGTGTTGTCGGATGGGGGTCCCCGCTCGAACGGGAGCGTTCCCCAGGGTCCGACAACCCGCACCCATACCCATAGCCAGTCCTCCTCTCAACGACCCCCCTATGGGTATGGGTGTGTGTGTGTGTGTGTTGCTCGTTCGTCAAGCCGGGTGCGCGACGCCCGCGACGTGCGCCGCGCGCGCCACAGCACTCCTTTACGATCCACTCCAGATCATAATCCGAACTCACCGCGGGGGCTCCCGCGCGTGATCGCTGCCAGAAAGTATTTGCAATATTCATGCTTCTCTCACCAGAATTATGGGCCTGCGCGAAGCAGGCAATATGCCGGCACCCCGCCATCCCCTTCAACTGACCATGCAACTGATCGCTCGGTGCCCGCGCATGATGCAGATTTTGCTGTACTGTGCACCTTGTATTGCTTTCTGACGTTCGACTAGGGTGGTTGGGGTTGTTGGCATTTGCACCCAGCAGACAATGTGCCAGACCCTCGTCGCCCGTGTCAGACAATAAAGCCAATGCAAAGTGGTCGCAGGGCGTCCGCCCATGATTCAGATGTTGGTGCAACGTGCGCTTTCCATTGCTTCTGGAAAAGGCTGGTCGGGGTGTTGGCACTGCGCAGAGCAGGCACCATGCCGGACCCCCGCCGTCCTTGTCAAAAACCAACGCAAAGTGATCGCGGGGCGCCCGCGCATAGTTCAGATGTTGGCGAAAAAATGCGCTTTCCAATGTCTGTCGTGTAAGATGTGTAGTGGATGGGGGGGATTCGTCATGGTCCTGGATTTGTCGCCTGTCGAATGTGGGAGGGAGATCGGTCAGGAGCAACGATTGAGGAGGGATGGCAGCCCAGAAAAGCCCCGTGCCCCCCGTCTCACCGCCCAAGGCCCCTTCCTCTCAGCACGTGTGACAGGGGTGGGGGGCCTCTCTTCCCTGCGCGTAGGGCGGGAAAGGCCGAACCCCGATGTTTTGTTGTTTGCTCCCAGCCCTCCTGTGGTCGAGGTACCTGTTTCTTGACTGGAGCATGTATCACGCGATCTTCTGCTTCTCCTCCTTATCCTCCTCCTCCTCCTCCTCCTCCTCATGCGTCCCCGCCTCCTGTCCTGATTTCTGTCCTCTCGCGCTCGTCATGGGGGGGCTGCCACCTCCGCAGCCGAGGCCACAATCGTGGGTTCCTAAAAGGTTCAGCGGAGTGACAACATCAATATCATCATAAGCAGCATCATCAAAGCATCATCAAAAACTTCATAAACAATATCATCAAATAATCATCACCATCAACACCGTCATCATCATAATCAACATCAACATCAACATCATCAGCATCATCATCCTCATGCTATCCTCATCCTCATCATTACAGACACACAAACTCGAACCTATCATGGGGGCTGCCACCTGCGCAACTGTCGCCACTTTCACGGGCTCTCGGAAAGTCGAGCGGAATGGTGCCCTACTCGCATTCAGACTAGACCTCGCGGCTCCCTGGGGTGGGCTGCCACCTGCGTAATTGACGCAAGTTGCGTAGGATTGTAGGAGGTCCAGCGGAGTGGTGTCGTACGTGCACTGGACCTCTCGGCTCCCTGGGGGGCTGCCAACTGCGTAACTGTTGCCACTTTCGCTGGCCTAGGCCTCGCGGCTCCCTGGGGGGCTGCCAACTGTGCAATTGACGCCACTTTCGTGGGCTCCTGGAAGGATGAGCGGAGTGGCGTCCTACGAACATCCAGAATAGACCTCGCGGGATCCTCGGGGGGTGGGGGGGGGGGGCTGCACTTGCTGCCGCGGGTGGTTTCGGACAATGAAGATCGCCTCGTACGCTGTCCACAAAAACTTGGCCCCTATTGTACAATGGCTCAAGCAATATGGATGTGACCCCACTCCGGAAACACAATACAATAGCTTGAAACACCATAAACCAATTCATAAACAATTAGGCAATTAGATCATTGTCGGTCAAGCCGTAATGTCCTACTTGATGTCCATCTTAGCCTTGCGGGCGCTGTCCAGCAGATCGTCGATGGGGACCTGGATGTCTATCGCGTCCTCGAGGCAGTTCTTCACCTTCAGAACCAGAGACTTGCTGCGTGTGACGCCAGCCTCGTGCTCCTGGTCCACGAGGTCAAAGACGCCCAGGGCGCGCTCCTTTGTCAGATGAACGTCGATCGAGACCAAGAGGCCCATCAGGTCCATCCTCTTCACGGTATCGTCGCCGCCGTTGGCATGGAGCAACAACGCCTTCGCCCTGCCCTCCGACGTCTCCGTGCTGGAAGATCCCAGACCGGTGACCTGGTGCTGGATGAAGACGAGGTCCGTGTGCGCCTGCCTGACCTCGGATATGATCGTGTGGAGCACCTCTTGGTCGGGCGCGGAGAAGGCCTGGACAGTAGTCAGCTCCACCAAGCCCAAGGGAAACAAGACAACCAACGAGAACAGGAGCGGCACCAGGAAGCCGAGATGGTACCACAACGCAGGGTAACTCAGATCGTCATTGTAGATTTTCAGGTTGTAGGTGAGGTGCATGACATACATGCCCAGGAGGAAGCAAACGGCCAAAGACTCAAACTGCATGAGCCACGCCATGAAGTCGCTCCACCACTGCATGGGCTGCTCAACATCAGCCAAATCATCGGCATCGCTGTCCTCGTCCTCGCTGTCCTCGTCGTCTTCATCTGAGCGATGCGATTTGAGGTACCCGTCCAAGGCTGCGTATAGCTTCCCACGGAGAAGCCTGATCTTCACCACAGTGGCCAACGTGAACAGACAATCCAGGTCGTGAAGAGGAAGCCGTTGATGTATGCTGGAGTCTTGGCCGCGTCTGCAGCAATAAAGCCTTTGTAGACAACCATCGGGAGGAGGAAGATGAACGAAACAAGCCAGGTTACCCAGGTAATGTTGATAAGATCGCAGATCTGGTGAGCGAGGGACTCCTGGAAGTACATGTTCCAATTGAACGAATCTGTCGTCAATTTATTTCGCTCCAAGAAGACACCCTGCTGCTTGACGCTCATGGGTTTCCAAGTTCCCATCTTCGGAATCGCACTGTCGGTGTCTCCATCAAACCCCTGCAGATGCTCCGATGTGCGGGTTCGCATCCACGCATAAAGTGCGCCCAATCCGATCAAAGAACACGCAACGAACGACACCAACACGTCAGCGTAAGTGAGGTGCGTGACGCAATACGGAAACTTCTCATCGAGGTCCGGATCTAGATTCGTTCCGACGAAGATCGTAATGGCAACGATGCCGAACACCATGAACTCCGTGACAACCCTATCGAAAATCATCTTGCTGCAACGGTTGTTCTCGACGGCTCGCTGTGTGAAATCCGCAACCGTGCCCTCAGGCACGAGTTGGGGTGTGCTGGATTAATGAATGCATCTGAAGCGGCCCAGACTCAAAATTGCCCAATGTCCCATGCTTTCTGCGTGCCGGGGCGTGCTCCCACGTGCCTTTTTCGGAGCCAAGAAGGGCCCCCAAACGGATCAATCAGCACCCAGCGGGCCGCAAAGACGGCCCCAAGAGGGCCCAGAGTCGGCGAAAGATCGCCCCAAGACACCCAAGATGGCCTCCAGACGTTCCAATAGCACTTCCAAGAGACGAAATGGGATCGACTACATAATGACTTTCGTCGAAGCCACCACGCATACGTAGAATGCTCAATAGATCTCTGGACATTCTATGGATTTGTTTAATTGATTGGTCGATCCCCTACTCGAACGAGGGCCCCGTAAGGCCAGAATCATTGCTCAATGTGTTTAATGTTCTCGCCTTTTCAGGTGCCCATCTTCCAAGACAGTCCAAGAGACTTCCAGAACAGCCTTAAGGCGGCGCAGGAAACCTGGATCCAACAATGCCGCTGATGCCCTTATCAAAGATTTTAGCGTTCTCACCTTTCCGGGCTTCTGACGCTCCAAGACGACCCAGTAGGCGCCAAAGGTCGCCCCCACGCAGCCCAAGAAACTTCCAAAAGGCCCCCAAGACGGCCCAAGAGGGCCCCAAGGCGGCTCCATAAACCTCCAGGATGGCCTGACATCACCCAAAGAGGGAACCATGACTACTCGGAGAGGGCCCCAAGGCAGCCTCCGAAGGCCAAGAGGTCCTTCAAAGGCTCCCAGAAGCCCCCACGAGGCCCCAGAGAGGTCCCTCAGAGGCCCCCTGGGAAGCCCCAAGAGGGCCTCAAGAGGCCTTTTCTGTTTCTCCTCAGATTCATCTTCGTGCTCCTTCTCCTCCCTCTCCTCCGCCTCCTCTCTCCATTGTTCCCCCAAGGGGTTCCACAACGGCGTGGGGAACACAATCCAGTACCCTGGCCAGACTTTGGCCGCAACGTTCGGCCAGATGACCGCTTCCAAAAGGCAAGGGGCGGCGGCGAGTCGCCGCAGGCGTCTTCGATACTGGATGCGGTCGATGAGGAGCCCGTAGAACACCATCCCCGCAAAGATGATCCAGAATTGGGCGTTGTCAAGTTTTTTGCTCTTCAGCGCGAAGATGGGGTCACCGCCACCACCTGCCGCCTGTCCGAACCATGGACTGGACGCGAGGGCCGCGGCGGCCAGCCCCGCCGCACTCCCCTGCCGATGCGGCCACATTGGGACGGTCGGTGTACCGCTCCGACGGAGAGAGGTGGGTCTCACTCCGCTGCTGGCACGTGCGCCGCCAGAGATCGTTCGACCCCCAATTGCTTGAGTCAGTACGGGTTGTGATGGTGGTGCTGGTGATGACCATGATGACGATGACGATGACGATGGTCGCGGTGACGCTGGCGATGCTGATGATGAGGACGACGATAATGATGATGATGCTGATGCTGCTGATGCGGGTGATGATCATGAGCATGATGGAAACAATGTTTCTTATATATACACATATACATGGCCCCCCCTTCCGAAGAGTTCGATCCGGAGCTGTTGACACTCTTCCGCCGCCGCCCTACGTCGCCGAGCCGGAGCTCGGAGACGAGACGAGTTTCGAAGGCCTGCTCAGGTGACCCAGGCAGGTGGTTTCTGACGTAACCGTGAGCACTAAGGAATGCATCGCACAGGCAAGCGCACAGAAGACGACGATCGGCACGCACGGGGTGGAGGAGAACACGGACGGAAAACCACTGCTTCTCAGGAGTCTCCTCAGGGAATACTGCACCCACTCAGCGGAGACACAAGCATATCAATCTCGGACAGGAACGGTCGTGGACCATATTGTCGGGGTTCACGGGCGCACCTGGTTTAGCTGGCAACACTGGACAGCCAAAGCAGCAAGACGGTCTGGATTAACCTCGCAATCTGACAGAAGTACAAGACCCTCGAGCGCACGTGCGACAGACTCCAAATCAAATATATGGACCGGCAAGCTTGCATGCCGATCGAAAATATTTTTTTGCGCTGGCCAATCATGCGTCGGTTCGTATCTGGGGTCCACGCCTGCAGTCGATCATACGCGCCACCGCGCGGGGAAGCACCCGCGAAGGGTCGTTCGTGAAGAGCTAAACCCCAATTGATGCCGCAAGCCCTGCGACGATATCGGAATCGAAAGACAAAAGCCATCGTGCCAGAGAAAAAAAACAAAAAGCGAACATAATAACGATGATCTGAACCAGCTAAGGCGGCCCCCGACACAGCAACGAGCAGGACGCGATCGACGGAGCGAAAAACTTCACCAATCTCTTTACGAACGCGTTCAACAGCCGAACGCAAAACAACAAACCATGCGCGAGAGGCAGCCGAGAGACATCGTAGTTCTTTCACTTCACACTTGAAACCCAAGGGTCGGAGCCGAGTGTTCATGTTGTAGAGGAACGAGTGTCCTGGAGCGGCCATAAGGAGTTGCAGCGTTTCTGGATGCCGTTGAAGGACACGAGCAGGCACTAACTGCAGCTGAAGAAGAGGCCGAAATACAGACGCACGCATTATCTGGAACGTTGATAGCGATAGCGCAAGGCCCAGCCCCATCTGTCGGAGAGAAAAAGACCGAGAGCATAATGTGCTCAGAGGTTCGCGCCAGCCATTATCCCCAGCCTCAGGACTTATGTATAACTTATGATGTTTGGCAGACCGAACGAATTCGACTTCTGCAAAGCCACTGGCACACTCACTCACGCCGTGACGAGGAAGGTCATCATGCAGGTTGCCACAGACAACGACTTTATCTACTTGAGATTGAGGAACAGCCCACATGCTGGACCAATGAGAATGAGCGCGGACCGCGCGCGCGGAAGAGGGGGCAGGATGTCGCGCATAGCATAGAGGCAGTCGTCCGCATATGCAAGCGACCTTTGCACGCGCGCGCCAAGGCGAGCACGCGTCCAACGCAAGACAGGGTCAAGGCTGAGGCTGAGGAGGCGCATGCTTCTAGGATTCCCGTGCCGACCTCCACGACGAATTGGGGAACCTCCAAACCTCTTCCGTCCAAGAGCGATGGTACCCCAGTTCTCCAGACGCAGCGCGAGCCAACGCATAACCAGGAACTCTCGCAGTTTTCAACGCCTCAAGCATGAATGCGCCCAGGATGGACGGGAAGGTAAAAGAGAAACCGGTCCATAACATGCCGGCGCGAGCATGCCCGGAAAGATGCTGATGGACTCCCCAGCTGCCATCAGATACGACATTCCGAAGCATGCAGCGGACTGAAACGCACGTCTGCGACCCATCTACAGCTGCCATCGACAATCGAGCGAGCGGCGCGCAGGAAACACGGGAGAGCAGCTCAACGCAGCATCGCCCATGGATAGTTGTCGAATCAGAAAAACCGCGAATCAGCGTCGAGCCGCCATCGCCTTGCGCCGCGCGTTTGGGCGGGAAGACTATGAGAAGCCGACGCGCGTCAGCAGGGTGGTCTGCGATCATGCCATCGCACGGGCCCGGGTAAACCGTGGAGAAGATCTTGGTTGCTGGGCCAAGCGCACAGAATCGGCAGGACAATCCATCTTCCCCAGGATTAGAATGAGTTGTGCCTTGGATCACCAGCTGGACTTCTTCAAACTTAGACCTCCAGAATTCGTCCGAAATATGGGCGGCCTTCTGAGTGATGCTCGGGATCTCTCCCAAAGGGGTCGCGCCAGCCTCGAAGCGCAATGATTGCGCCCCAGTGATCGCAGAGAACTTCGGCCGAGGCCACCAAGATGCGCGGGGATTCTCGTTCGAGTCCTTGGAGCTCGGGAGCCAATTCGCCCTCTGGATAATTCCCAAGCGCCGCGCTTTCTCCGACTCTTCCCCGGGCCGGCTCGCGCCGCAAAGTCCTCAGCGGAGGAGTTCTCAATCATTGACGCCCAGGTGTCGAAGATCTGCGTCTGAACATTGGATATGCTCACAAAGATGGCCAGACTGAGACAATTCAGGAATAACCGGTTTGGAAAACCTGTCAAGGCGCTCGTGACATTCGATGGCGCGCACGCCCATGCGCTCCGCGAGGGTCGCCAACCACGAAGAGAACGCATGGTCCAATGAAACTGCTCAGAGAGGGTGGATGAAAAAAACGCGATAGTTACCTTGGCCCGCTTGCACGCGACATGCATGATATCATTCGCGCGCGCGCAAGAACCTCATGGGCGCGATGCGCAGGAACGCGGTCAACCCGTGGACGATCATTATTCCCAACCAGTGCTAACGTCTGACGCGTAAAAACCAAGCTCAAATTCAATGAGCGCATCCGTCAGAGCCTGAGCGAAAAACTCCTGGCATACCGATTGACGAGCAACCCAGATGGGAACACTAACGTGGGCATGGCCCGTAGGGGCGTATCTTGCGATCGCCGTCAAATAGAGGAAGCGGTCGGAGCACTGGGCGTTCTGCAGCCCCCCATGTCACCAATAATCATATGGTGCGGTCAGCCACGAGAGCCGAGGGGATGTCAGAACAAACGAAGTCACGGCTGGAGGTGCGCATTTACACGATCCCGAATTCCCAGACGAGTGTCCGATTCCCGATTCATGGTTACACTCAACTAAACTTACCCCATGACCCGCATTTTTCATGGAAGTGGCCAGTGTGAGCCCGATCTCCAGGACAGAAACCATTCCCATCAGCCAAGAGTCGCCCTTCACTTGCACGTGTGAATTTCCAGCCTCCCACGGCAATACTGAAGCAATCCGAAACAGCGGGGAGAGCACTCAACACGCAGAAGAAACTGCAAAGAGTGGGAGGCAACGAGATCGCAAACATTAGGAAGGTGTACGTTCACGATCATGAGCGATTCGTGCTTCCCCTTGCATTGTGAAAGAAGAGCTCTGCCCTCTATCAGTGGGACGTGCTCAATTGTGTCAAACACCACAGAAAAATACGACGACGTAGCTGTAATTACACCACGGGTGCGATTGCCATCATTAAAGAACGAGTGGCCAATACGAGAATAACGAAGGTCAGCCTGACCGTGTTTCTTGTGCACAAACAGCTGGGTAGCGATTGGCTGCAAAGGCGGATGAACTTCCCCCATCGCTTGGAGGCGGCAGTCTATTTCGTAGCCTTCACCGCGCAAAGCTGACCATGAACACACGACGTGACAACCGGTAGAGAAGGAAGAATAGCACACGGTCAGACCCCACCTCCGTAGAAATATCCAAAGATTCGCGCCAATGATCAAGGAACTTCCCAGGCCTGCGCGCGCAGGCTCGCAGCAGTCTCTGGACCAAAATCTCAGAGGATGGTCGTCGGGTCGTTGGCCTCCGCGGTGGCCGTCGTCATCGCTTGCAGGACCGCCTCGTCGCTCAGCTTCCAGACGCGGCAGTGCGAGGTTGGGGTCGAAGGACCAAGCCGCCATCTCATCCACTTCGAGGTAGATCATATCCCGGATTTCCCCGTTGCCGGCGCCGCCGTAGATTCTGATCGTGCCGTGGTATCCGTTGACACCGAGGCGCGTGGAGAACATGCCGTGGCCCGCAGCGACGAGCATGTTCCTCAGCTTGGCATAGAAATTGCTGAAGGCCCGCTGGCGAAGTCTAGCATCTGGAGGCATGTCTCCGCGGCTGATGATTTGGTGGCTTGGCTGAATGCGAGGATGAATGCAATTCATACTGTCAGGAAGGGCTGCAACTATGTCCTAGAATCTCTTGGCCGCAAGCTCGCTGGATAACTCGAGGCTGCACGACATCGATGTGCGAAAGGAACTGAACGCGATCTCGCGCGCAAGATCATCAAGAAGAAGAGGGGCAACTATTTTATCATAGTGAAGCCGCCGTTCACGATCAAAAATAATGCGAGGGAGCGTTCCAATCCAGCGGCAGTACTTGGCATCTACTGCATATGGAAAAAACTCTCGACGATCCACCACTTGAAAAAGCAGGGGACGGAGTAGAATAATGACATGTTTTCAACTGTTCGATATCACTCTCAAGGCTGGCTACTTTGTCGTCCACCTCTTTGATGGACTTGACTTCGCCAGATTGTGCAATACCATGACCAGTGAGGATCCGCTCGGGGGAGATAATTATCGCGTCGGCGGCCTAGGTGGTCTCTTCGATCTTGGACTCCATGTAGTTCATGCTCACAGCGACATCTGGGCGGAGCTGCTGCATCTCCTCGGATTGTGTCTTGATGGGCGCCGCCATCTTGGAGTTGATGTCTTTGGCTTGCGCTTTAAACAAACCCTGGATGCGAGACAGAAGGGTGTTCTCCGTCGCCGCGGCTCGAATCACCTCCGCCATTGTGACCCGAGCCCGCGGGAAGTGCGCAGGCCCGATGCCGGGGCAGCACCTGAGCTGCGCTAGCAAAGCCCCAGCCTAAGCCAGCACGCAATGTTGTCGCCAAGGCTAAATCAGGCTACCACGCTACCTCGTAGCTTCCCCCCGTTCAGCCTTGAGCCACAATGTCTACGGATGGCAATGATGCTGATGATGATGATGATGATGATGATGATGATGATGCTGATGTTGATGATGACGATCATGATCACGATGCGCGTGTTGAGGATGCGGGGGGGATGACTTTCATATGTTTCGAACACCTGTCTGAGGTCATTGTTTGGGGATGTCCTGAGTGAAACACATGCTGTTGAGTACATATATTAAAGGACCATTGGCCTTTCGATGCTTGATCCCAGGGTGCTACGCCGCGCAACTGCCGCACTCTCGTCAGATCACGGGGAGCCCAGCAGAGTGACGGCACATGCGGACCAACGCGACACTTTCGCGCGCTCAAGGAAGGTCCAGCGGAGTGGAGTTGCACGCGCACCCAGACTGGACCTCGCCCTCACAATGAGGCTACCAACTGAAAACTTATCGCAACTTTCGGGGTCTCCTGAGAGGCCCAGCCGAGTGAAATTGCAAGCGGACCCAGACTGCACCTCGCCCTCCCGTGGGGACTGCCAACCGCGAAACTGACGACACTTTCGCGGGCTCTTGCCAACTTCGCAACCGTCGCCATTTTCGAAAGCTCCTGGGAGTCTGGTCGATCCGCTCGCTCGCTTCGAGCCCCTCGCCCCCCCCTGCTCGCGAATAATCCCATGAAAAATCTTGGGCCCTCGGGGCCAACACGGAGGGCGATGGGGGTTTGGGGAAGAACAACCTCCCTCATGCCTGGGGACCTGGTCGCAGGCTTCTCTTGGCCATCGCGACCCGCTCAGCATCGACCCCCAACCCTCTCCGCATCCCTACGCGTCCTCGGGCCAGAATCTTGGAGCGCCTCCGCGCCCCGGTGGGCCATGGGGCCCCCCCTCCCTTCAGGCCGTCCCTTGCCGGCCCGTCCTGGGCCCAGGGGCCCATCCTGGGCCCCCGGGGGCGGCGCGTGCGCCCTCCGCCTTCGGTCGCGCAGGAACATACGATCCAGGGCCGAAGGCTCACAGGACCCCTCCCCCAGAAGGGGGACGGATCCCAAGGTTCAAAGCCCCCCCCTGACTGAACGGGGGGGGGACGGCGACGACGCCGCCGCCGCCGCCGCCGCCCCCGCCGACGACGACGACGACGACCACGCCACGGCCACAGGGCCAAAACCGCAGGGGGGAGGGGACCCATCGCGCGGGGGGCCGCGCGGGGGGCGGGCGAAGGCGTCAGCATGAGAGCGGGGGGGGACTGGAATCCTGGACTGTGCTCCGAAGCTTGGCTCGGGATGGGCCTGGACAGAGGCGGTGGTGTACATCTCCCCGCCCAGGAGGTCCCTATGCCTTTCCCACCCTCCGCGTTCGCTCCTCCATCCTCGCTGACCCGCCCCGCTCCGGGCTCGCTCGCTTGTTCGGGCTAGTTACGCGAAGTCTTCAGGAGAGTGGCGGGATACCGCCGGCGCAAATGACTGGCGAGGCATCTGGGCAGCTGCTCCTGTCCAGATCGCTGCGGGTTCCCTTTCCGCCCTTACGTGAGCCCAACAGAGAGTCCGTGCTAATCCTCTTGGTGTGCTTCTTCTTCTTCCTCCTCCTCCTCCTGCTCATCCTTTTCCTTCTCCTCCTCCTCAATATCCTTCTGCTCATCCTCCTACTCATCCTCCTCCTGCTCCTCCTGCTCCTCCCACCTCCCTACCCATCCTCCCTCCCCATCGCCGTCGTCAACCTTCCGTCCGCCCTCATCCTCATCCATTCCTTTTTCTGACAAGCAACTCTTCCTGGTCTCACTCCAAGGCTGGTCAAAGGGGCGGGCCGGGCGTGTCGCCTGAGACTTCCTCGCCACTTTTGAATAAGATCCTTAGAAATGGACAACAGCTTCTTGAATGGAGGGCAGGGGAGGTTTTGAACATGTGGCTATCGCCCTAGCTCCGCGCACGATCGCCTTTATCATTTGCAAAGGTTTCACGGATTGAGAGTGGGTCGTTTTCAAAATGTGGCCTCGCCTAGAAGCCGCGCGCATTCGTTTTGAAAGTTTGCAAGAGCATCACGGATTGAGGGCGAGTTGTTTTCAAAACAGTGGCTCTCGCCTTAGCACTCCGCACAGTCGCCCCAAACAGTTGCAAAGCTTTCTCGG